CCCCCCGGTCATTCTTGACAGGCAATTTGCTAGTACTTACAGGGGGGCAGGGATTAGAATCCTGCAGCCCTTGCACGCAGGAACAGTGCTGCATTAGACAGAGAGGGGAAGTGACGCAGCCTCGTCCTCGTTATATGTGCCAGCAGCTGTGTCTAGCACACATCTTCTAAATCAGGACCTGCAGATTGGATATGCAAAGGACACCTAGTTTTGTGAACTCCTGTAAAGCTCATGAGCTGCTCTAGGTCAAGATTTAGGCATTTCTGCATATGCACCTCAGAAGATATTTGGGAACCTCGTGGCTTTTACTGGTGAAAGCTTAGGTACCAAGGGAATTCAAGTGCCTCCAGGAATAGCTGGTTATTGTAAGTATCTAGGTTTTGGGGTCGAGCACCAAAGGCCCCCGTGTGAATCTAGTGCTTAAATAGAGCAAAGATGTCTAGTTAGAATTATTCTACCAATATGCTAGAAATGATCACACAACAAATTTCTTGCATTTTTTACTTGCTCAAAACAGTAAGTTCAGAGGAAGATAAATAATGTGCTTTATTTTTTCTCCCAAAGGAACCACATATTGGAGGAGAAGGCATGATGGGAGCCAGACTGTCACTGGATAAGTTGAAGCTGCTGCAGAGGTTTGATCCCTCCAATGTCACTTTACAGAGAATGGATATTACCTCCTTGCTGAAAGCCAAGGAAGATGATCTGATTCGTCTGGCAAATAAGGACTGTATAGGATTTTTTATAGCAAAATTTATTAAATTGAATGTTAAATAGGTATTTTGCAACACAACCCCAAAAATACCTTTGTAGGTTAAGAATGGTTCAAATGTTAACCAAATTTCTTACTACTGCAACGTTGTCAGGCCAACGGGATGACGACATGGTTGCTATGGAAGCAGTAAAATCTGCCAGCTGTTCTGCTGGGAGAGAGCCACAGGTTGGAGAAAGAAAGTCACAGTTGGGGGAGGGGTATTTTCATTTCGAAGTCTCCATTTGCTTTTTAATTTGCAGCAGGGCAGTGTAGGAAAGAGGAGTAAATGCATTCAGATTGCTGCTTGCTTTGTTTTGTCAGGGTGATTTCATTGTACAGTATTGCAAACACGTAGGAACAAGCTTTTGCTTGTTTTATTTCTTATGGGTATTTAAGTTATTTTATAAATTGCAAAAAATTAATGAGAGTTAATACATTGAAAATAGTAAATCAGATTTTGCAGAAATGGTGGTTTCTGCAGGAGTTTGTAAACTGATATGTCATTAAATATTGCTAAGTAAAAGTGTCACATTTCACAGAGAGCTGTTTTCTCAATCAATACTTAAAACCTCTTGTCTCCTTTACTTCAATACAAGCAAGAATCTTTTTACATATATACACACAAAATACTATTTGACTTTGTAGCACCTCCTCTATAGCAGCATGTATAGATGAATATATAATTATATCCCACTTAAGGGAATGGAACAAATTTGTGTTTCAAGGACAACCTTCCCCTGTGTAAAATTGGATCAGTTCCAAGATACCACATTGGGCTGATTGACCAGTGACTTTTTTTCAAGACAAATATTGCTTGCAAGAGTGAGGGCTACAATTGAATACCAAATGCCATGGGGAAGATTAGAATCTCATCTTTCCTGGGGCATTGCATATAACATTCCTTACTTTTTCTGACAGAGTATGAGATCCCAGATCACATAATAGCTTGCTGTGCTCTTTCTCTCAACTCTGTTCAAACCTGATTGTTCTGATTAATATATCAAGAACTCCTAGGAACCAGGGCTCAATGTCCCCTAACACACTGTAGGCCACCTTTCAAATGACTCAAAGCATTAACTTCTAAGTGGTTAGAGGTACTAATTGCAAGAATTAGGCCCAAACTGAGAGGTGGGAGGGAATGTGCTAATCAGAACAGATTAACTGTAATACAGCACCAGGTATGTTTACCAATCATGGACTCATAAATACATTTGGTATATTTAAAGAGGTTGGTTCTAGAAATCTTACGGGTTCAATTTAAACCCCTTTTTTCAATTTGAAGAATGTCACTGCAACTGGTAGTAACTCTAAAACCAGAATAAACTAGGTATACTTCAAAGGGTGCTGACAGACGTGCAGCACCCCCACTAACTCATGACACTTTACATAAAGCGCCATGAGTTACACTGGTCCCTTGGCCCAACAGACATTTGCCTGTTGCTTCGTGGGGGAAGGGGCGCCCAGGAATTGAGCAGAGGAGCCTGCCTGCAGCCTCTCTTCTCCTCTAGCCCTGCTTTTCCCTTCCAGCTCTGGTGCTGTCTACAGGAAGGGAAGGTGAAGAAGGGAGGAGGATTGAGCTGCAGGCTGCGGTTTGCCTGGCCGTAGCTAGAGGGGAGGGGGCTGGGTGGGGGCCCCGTGAGGCCAGGCTCCTATCCACACGGCCCTCTCGAGCTCAGGCTGGGCAAACCCAAGCCCACAGCTCGCTCCTCCTCCCTTCTCCCCCTCCCTTCCTGAAGACAGCACTGGGGCCAGCTGCATCAGTCCAGCCCTGATTGCCGAAGGACTGACCCTAGAGAACAGAAGTTCTCTAAAGCACTCCAAGGTGGAGCAGCTTCATTAGATGAGGATTCATTTGTCACACAGTCACTTTTAAAGTGCTCTGCAGCCGTGCGCATATGTCATGGCATAGCTGTAGAGCACTTTCAGGGGGTTGATCACATGACAAATATAATTTCCATCTGCATCTACTAAACCTAAATTCAGGATATTTTTCTTTTGTTTAACAGTTTCTGTGTACAAGTAGCACATGCAAAACTAGTCAGTATATTTAGCTTGGTTGAGTAAAATGACAGAATGACTAAAATGAAATAATTGCAGTTCACTTCAGTCTCTGCTTCCTGCTAGAGATTCTGCGGCTTTGTTTGTAGTTAAAACAATCTAATTCTTTTACACAGTCATTTGTGTTTGTGTATAAATGCCCTGCTATAAATATGTTGATACAATATGTTCGCTGTTGTTCTTAAATAAAACAAATGTATCTTCTATTTTTTAGCCTTTAACTAAAGCTGATTGTAGTATATGCTTATTATCTCTGTCATCCTCTGTAAGGGCCAGCCTATCATTACACAAGGAAGAAATCAGTTTAAAAGCTCTTCTGTGGTTTTAATGACTCCCTGGAGAGTTAACCACAACTAGCTAAAACAGTTATTTTAGACACTATTTGCCTTAACTGTAGTAGGTGCAAAGTTCTGTTCAAAATCAAGGTAATTAAAATGCAATAGCCAACCCATCATAAAATATAGCCTGTATTCTAAGCTAGACAGAGAAATAACTGCTTGGTAACAAGATTCATCACTTTGCTATTGCAGCTGCATGTTGGGACATAAGGGTTTCTCCATACCATTTTCTCTTTGCAGAATGTTGGGAAAGAAGTCCTGTAAAGATCAGTTAGGATTTAGTGGGTCATAATGAGCCACTTACACTTAGATACATTGAGAAGTTTCTTAGTGGTTGCTTTCATTTTGCATTTGTCATGCCTGACGTGACCTTCCTGGATATGGAGATTTAAAAACAAATGAAAAAAGAAACAAAAAAACAACCCCCCCCAAACCTCTCACAAAGCAAGAAACAGGCTATTCAGAAACTGATCCCACTTGACACTTACGGGAACAGTTTCTCTTGAAAAAAACAAACTTCTTATCAAGAGACAGTGTTAGGACCACAATCGTATTTAACACATTGGTTTTCCAATCTTATCATTATAAATTAAAGCTACAGGAACTTTAAGAATCTTTTTTCACAAATATCGGTATACATTATAAATGACATATGCGATAGTTATTTAAGTAAGCTGTCATTTGGAAACATCCACAATGGGTGGTAACATTAGATCAGCCTGTTTAGCGTAGCTTTTCTTCCCTTCCCTTATGTCTTAAAATCTACAACTGTGCTGAATTGCAGATACTGAAGCAGAATGTTAGAGTATGTCTACCACTTGGAAAGGTTTATGCCTGAAATGTTGGTGTGATAAAAGATTACCTCTACAAACCCTAGCTTATATCCCTACACTATGTTACATTATCCCTTAAAACAACTTAAAGTCTCACAAGTTGTTTTATTTGTGTGTGGGAATCATTAGAGATAATGGTTTTGGGGGGGGGGGGGGAACCCTGCTTATAATGGGGTCAATGCTAGATATTGATTTTGATCAGTGTAAAGGTAAATACTTAAAGCAGCAGTCTAATGCAGCATGGTAGTATAATATAAGCTTCCTTTTAATTAAGGCAGTTACGCATTAGAGTGCAGTACTTGATGTGTTCTTAAAGCAAGTAAGGAGTACCTAAAGATATTAATGAGAAATGGCGAACCATACTGACCAGCAACAAAAATAATCTCAAAGTGGGCACTTACAGTTAAAGAACATAAATTATTCTGTCATTCTGTTCCCTCCCGCCACCCCCGCCATTTTTACTATCAGTATTATACATGTTAATGTATTGGGGTTTGAAACTCCTAGAAAAAATACTTTAAAAAATCCCACTAGAACTTTTCTAAAATATTAATTAATTTAGCATTGAATTAAGTATAATACTTAGAATTTGTTGCAAGGTTTGTATAAATTAAACAACAAAGGTGATCAGGTTACAGTAAGAAAGAAAATGTAGTTTGGGTAAGAGAATCCCATTCTGATCTAACATTTCATCATGTGTAATTCATTGACTTGTGTCTTAAAATATTTTTTTGCCACCTAAAATACACCATTAGAATGCTCTAAATAAAAGCAGTGACTATGAAGCTACCTCCACTTCCTTGTACCTCCACTTCCTGTGCAATGTTTTTCATATATATATATATATATATATATATAGGAACTAACAATTAACTCAGAAAAGCTGTCCTGGAATCTGCTTGCAAGCACTTGAGATTTTCAGAGTTGAATATATTCACAAGAAAATTTACAGAAAAGTCAAAATGTAAATATGCTATATCCTTCCAGCTGAGAAGAGAAGGGTTGAAATAATGAGAAATATTTTTTTTAAAGAGTTAACAGAAAATGCATTAAAATGTAATCAGATTTTTCTGTGGTTTAAATTCTACTAACAGAGGAGGAGCTGCATGCCCTGGAGGAGGCTTTCAGTGGACATGTACATGAGATGCTAAATGTGCAGTAGACTAATTCTACTGCACATTCATGCATCATGGCTAAAGCGGTGCTAATGCACGGTAGAACTGATGTACTGCACATTAGCATTACTAAAAGACTGTGCTGGTGCAACTGCACAGTAACGCCCGTTACTGTGCACTGAGTTAATAATACTGGTTATCACAGGGTGTCTATACACGTGTTGGTGGGGGGGAGGTGAAGTGCTTTAATTGGAGCAGCTCCAAGAGCCACTCTAAAGTGCCCAGAGCGCCTCATGTATTAGCAGAGGCACTTTATAGCTCATTCGACAAGCTTTAGATAAAGCACCCCTGTCACCATTTTGAAGTGCGGGGATGCTGTTGCACAAGATGTGGTGGGTGGCTGGAGTGCGGTAATTAACACGCTGCAGCAGACTCAAGTAATTATGGTGTGTTGGAGCAGCCTCCACGTTGGTGTATAGGCACCCACAGGTACTAAATGTACAGTAAGAATCGCATATTAATGCATGTGTACACATGCCCATTGACTACTAAACCACCAGAGCTTAAAAATGCTAAATAGTTGCAAAGTCCATAAGATACCATAACTATTCAACAATTCACCTCCAGGTCATGGGTTGGGAAAAACTTCATGCCAATTAAACCTCTCGTACAGGAGATACAGGCTTTGTTGGACGGGTGTTTGTATGTGGAGGCAGAGGTTACTGTACTTTGAGGTGAGATTTCCCTTCCCCACACTTCATCTTCTGAAGGGCCAAATGATCTGCCTTTGTGTTGGTGAATGAGTTTCACCTACTAATTTCTACAAATTTGTGCTGAAAAAGCAAACTCAACTAGCACCTAATTGGAGCCACCTTCAATTCTTTTTTTCAAGCAACCACTGCTCCAGATTGCTTTGGTCAGTTAGGACTAAATGATGAAATGAAACTTACAGTAGCTTAATGGACATAAAAGTTTAAAAACTAGTTTTCAATTCCAAGCTCCATGCTATATGGACACTATTTGAATCCTTTAGTCTCTCAGGGGGAGCATGACCCTTGTTTTCTGTTGTAAATACAATAGTATTTTTCTTCGTTTTTGTTAGAGTCAGTTTATCAATGGACTCCAAAATAATTTCTCTGTCCTTTAGAGCTTTCTTCTCCCTCTCCCCACAAACCCTCCCCACCCCTACTGACGTTGCCTTGTGTATAAATCTCTCTTCTTTTTCTTCCATACTGTTCTGTCATTTACTCATCTATCCTCACCGCCTGATTCCTCAAGACCTTCTATGATGTCTGTAAGAAATCAAACAAGTGATAATGCCTAGGTGTGGTAGATAGTACATTAATGTGCATTAATATAAAAAGACAGACAAACAAAAACAATGTAATAAAATGTCTACATACATATTGGAAATATTAGAATGTATCCTCTCTTCAGGGCAAAAATGAGGAACTATCAAGAACCATGTATCACTGTCCACAACACTTAGATGTTTTCTCTCTTCATTTGATATTGTCTTTTTAGTTCAGCAACACAACATGGGAGTGTTTCTTACCATGGTCTTGTGCAGCAACATCTGCCCAATGAAGGCCCTGGTGCTGCCGGGGACCTCTGGCATTACCACAATACAGACAGTAAGCTTTCCAGTTGCAAGGCATTGAGAAGACATGCTTCACCACAATAACCTTTCATATGTTAGAGCATTTTAAAGTTTGTTGTTCAACCAACTCCTCAAGAGCCAAGTGCTATTTCAACAATAGTGGACAGAAAGCAGATTGGATTGTACGGTGTTATGGAAAATGTATAGCAGAAGGCACTGCTATAGTCAGAGTCTTGCTTTTATAACAGCTATGGAGGGAGGAGGGAAATGTCAGGGGTGGGTTTATAAAAAACATGATTAAATTGCTAAGCCAAAGAATACTGTTTAACTAAGAATACATTCAAAGTATAGAGCTTGCATAGAGTTGCACTGCACAAAATGTTATGCTGTCACTGAGCCGGTTTCAGGCAAATGCTTCCCTTTGTGAAAAGCATGTACATTCCAGGAACCAACAGATAACCCACATTGCCAGAGTTAGGATTATGCTCTTTGTATCCTGATTTATTCATCTCTTTATATGGGTATGCACTGTCCAGTTTCCATTTATAGTTGCTCAAAAACTTGAAATTCTTCCAAATATTCCTTCCACACTATTTTCAGTTGGACAAAAACCTTCATGGACTGAGGATAAAATTAAAAAGCCAGGTTCAGATGGCCAACTGTGGAATACATAGATAGATTCTCTGGAGGAAATAAGTGGCATAAGAGTTGCAGTAGATTTGAGAATTGCCATTCTCAGTTCAATAACCTTAATGTTCTGAAGCTAGTAAAATAGCTAAAGTAGATGCTAGAAGACAAGGGACTATAGCAACCTTTCTCAGTTTAAAATTGATAAGAAATGCTCCAAACAGTAGACCTACTTGGAAACTAAAACTAATGGATCATAAAGCCTTAATTTTTATAGCAAAAATAATGCATTTAATGGTATAGCAGGTCTCCTTACCTAGCTTCTTTTTTCTAGAAAGGCAGTTAATTAAGCATACAATTTTAATTAAGCATATCATTTTTTGTAGGAAGAGATCCTTTTCATTGGTGTTTTCCACAGCACATGCTTTGAGCCAAACAGTGGATAACCACCTGTAAGTACACTAGGAGTTATGCTGAGATATCTGGCAGCAGAATTTCCCTCTGGATATTTATAAAAAATGCTTCAAGACTTTCTTTAAGTGGGGAGAGAGAAACTTCTCCAGAAGTGTGGATATATAGTTGCCTAGACCCTGAAATAAGAGAGTGGGAAAAAAATGAATGTCATCTATTTCCTTTTGCTGGAGTGATCCTTGAAGTCAGGCAATTCTGGTAGCAACTATTTGCCAGAAAACACACATTATATATACTTATCATATAGTGTTTTCCCAACTCTGTTACTTGCATAAGGTGCCACTTACAAACACAAACTGTAATTAATAATTAAAATGATATCACTATCTGTGACTCAGAATAATTTATAAATTAGGCAGAAGCAAACCTATAGCCAAAAAAGTAACGCATTTCATGTCACTTACCAGTACATCAGGTGCTCAACAAACCCAGCTCCATTTTTCTTTAGCTAGCGCATAGAAGACAGAACTTTTGGTCAGGAAACAATGATTTTTCTAGGTGCTTACAGGCACCACAAGGGATTAAATGAAGGAAAAGGAAAGAATTGATGGCAGTGGGAATGCAGAGGAATTGGCAAGTATAGAAAAAGTGGAGAAGCTACAAAAATTTATTTTCCAACAAAATAACTCTCCACAAGCTGTGTAAACTTTTTCTTACTAAAACAAATACTCTAAAACACAAAGATTTTACATTTCCAGTGAAACACTCACAGTAACATTTGCCTGTGTTTTACTCTCCTGGAGTCTCAACAAAGAGCCAGCAGATTTATGCTTTCCCAATTACCTGCAGCAGTAAACTTCCTCATGCTCCTTCACTCATGTGAATTGGGATCTTAAAGTTAAATTAAGAGATAAAATAAAGAAACTCACTGGCTGGCATTTTGAGTAATCTATATTTTGTTCAATAGATTCTTGTCTACATTCTAAACTTCTGTTCCCTCATATACAAATGCATTCTCTCTTTTTGCCATTCCTAGTCATATATGCTCTGCCTTTTTGACAATGAGGCAAAAATTAGACTGTGCCCATTGCAATGTGTGAGAATTACATAGAGAACAATTTATAGTGCTAGGTTTTCTATCTTGACCATAAATTTTAAATTTAAAGTCTGTAAGGACAACAAAAAATATAAGAATTGAACCTTTTATCTCAAGCATCCATTCACATTTACAGTAATTATCAGCTTTATGCTACAGACGAAAAAGTGTCTAGATCAAACACTGTTACAAATTTCCTGAATGAGGCTAGTTCCAGTTGCCAGTAATTCAAAAGAAAATCTGCTGACTTGGCATTAGGACTCTTAAAACAGTGTGGTCAAACTTATATAGTAAGAAGGTGTTTTCAGAAATAACATTTATAAACTGTATATACAGTACACAGTACCAATACATAGAAAATAGATTTTGACTTTATGATCCCCTGTGTAAGGCAAGACTGAATTCTGTCCCCGAATGGAGTCCACTAGAGGTACAAGCAACAGACAGTGGCTCTTAAATTAATATGCAAATCAAGTGCATACAAATTAAAAATCAGAATAGACGACAGTTTTAGTTTTGTATGTGCTGATTCTGGCTTGCTGAATACATGGGAAGTTATTAAACATCAACTGTACCTTGTTTTAAAACACTAACAACACCTTGATGGCAACAGATATTGTTCAAGTGGCAGCTACCAAAAACAGCTTGGAAAAAAAATGCACAGTACACCATCAGGACCCCTGCAGTTGTACTATGCCAATTTGTAATAGCACTAACAAAAAAAAAAAAAAAGTATATGGATATTCTATTTCATGCTATTGCTATGCAAGCAACAGCAATACAAATCAGCATACAGAAGGATACCATGTTCTGCGATGAAGAACCCAAAGATATTTTCAAGGGGTGTTGTTATACAAGACTTCAAAGAAACACCAGACTGCCAGAGGCAAAAGTTACTGACGGATGTAAACATCCCTGTTCCATTCTCCCGTGTCATTACGTTTTTTAGATACCACTTCCCCATCCTTGTCACAATATTGGTCCCTTGATTTATGACGACTACGCTGTTTGTTGCATTCATTGTGGTCCTGCTCTCGGTCCCTTTCCCTTGAGCGATGTCTTGATTCCCTGTGTCTGTGATCGCTGCTCCCATGTGATTCGTCTCTATGATTGTGATCCCTGTGAGAATCATAGTGATCACCATGCTCATGTGAGTAGTCCTCCTTTGGCTCTACATAAGCTGAATCTCTGCTCTCTTGTGTTTCTGAGTCAAACGTTTCTTGTCTAGACAGGCCTCGACTGACACTACTACGATGGTTATGGTGCTGTGCTGAGGAAGAAGAACGATGTTGCAATTTCTTGGTGGGTTCAACCCGTGCTTCCTCTTCTACTTGTGAACTGGTTCTTTCAAGGGCTGAATGGTCATTCCTCTGGTCTCCTTGAGAGCCCTAGTTAGTGTCACAACAGGCAGTAAGTTCATATACATCGAGTACAGATGTAAAGACATATCCTTATTACAAAATTAAATGAGAAAGTACATAGGAAAAGTTAAGAATTTAAGGGCTTGTGTACACGCCACAAAACTGGCCTTTAAAGCGACTTAAATGCCCTTTAATGGTGTTGCTGTCTGCATGCTCAGAGGTGCTTGCATGCTCATTGGTGTATTCTGCTTTAAATGATTTTGGTATATAGCAAGATAAAACACCTTTGAAGTGCTTTAGTTTGCTACCTAACAAAGTGCCACAGTGCATGGGGCACTGGAAGCTGATGTGCTCAAGGCTTGTTGAGCCCCGTGCAGCTCAGGAGCTGTGGGAACTGGCAGCAACCCATGCAGGCAGGCTCCACTGCAGAAAAAAAAGCGGCAAGCTGAACCTATTTTTTTTTTCTTCCCAGAGCCTGCCTGCCTGAGCTGTGCAGGGACCTGGTGCTTCCCTCCACGGCTGCGAGGGGGCCAGTGCTTCCCTCCATGGCTGCGGTGCCCCTTGGGACCACCCCGGCTGGGTGCTGCCTGGGGAGCTCCTGCACAGCTCAGGGACTGCTCAGCCTGCCAGCAGCTTACCCCAACCTTGTGTATACACCATGGGGATTTAGTTTGGTTTAATTCTCCCTAAATTGAAGCAGTGTTTTTAAAAACCCACCGTTTCCATTTAGGAAGAACTAAACCAAATTAAACCCCCGTGACATGTGCACGCAGCCTAAGTATGCAAGAAAGCATTCTGAATCAAATCAGGAAAACGTTAAATTTAAACTTTTAAAGAAAATGTATTTTACTGCAAGTGCGCCATTCTGTCACAATTAGGATGGGGAAGACATAAGTAATGGATCAACATCAGGTTCCTGCACATTCCAATTAACATCTAACGGCACAACTCAGACATAACATGGAGGTTGCAGAAGACACAGAGGATACATCACATCCTAAGAGGCCAGAAATATATAGTGCAGAAACTTATTTGAGGACACATAGTTCTGGACAGGGTCTTTAAAAGACAACAGAGAAGGATCAATGGGTGAAAAGAGGTAGACTGGATTTTGGTCTGTTTTTTTTAAGAATTCAAATAAAGACTTAATCTGGTATTAATTAAAATTGCATTAGAATACCAAAAATATCATTGCACCTGTGTTTTTGTGAATAATAATTCCTTCTCATTGTGGTAAAACAGACTTGTATGTCACTATTCAATCATTCAGGAATGCTGATCATTGCCAAGGAAAGCAGGGGGAGCAATCATATTATCAGCTAAACAATCTCTTCACAGAACTTCTTCACAGTTCGAATGGCCAAGATCTGGAACTGGCTCCCAAGGGAGGTGGTGCTCTCCCCTACCCTGGGGGTCTTCAAGAGGAGGTTAGATAGGCATCTGGCTGGGGTCATCTGAACCCAGCCCTCTTTCCTGCCTATGCAGGGGGTCGGATTCGATGATCTATTGAGGTCCCTTCCGACCCTAACATCTATGAATCTACTAATGGTGCCGCTATCTAAAGATTGAACTAAAATGACCAAGTAAAGTCAAACTAATCTTCCACAGCCTAAGGCTTGGAAATCACTGCAAAATGAACAGTTACGATTAGTTATCTCCACGTTGGGGTTCCAGTATGTTAATCTCCATTTGTTCCCAAATTATCGCTAAAGAGATTGTTAGAATTCAATTTCAGAATTAAAAAAAAAAGTTTCTGCCAAAAGAATAATCCATACCACCTGTGGCTAGGACATGATTACAGATGATACAAAATTAAATGGAAAAGGGTAGAGAAGTACATTAACCTGAGGTTAGACTTGGTCAAAAATCAGATACTCTGTTCTGAGGAATTTCAAAATTCTGAAAAAAAGAATTGATTTTTGGAACAAAAATAGAAACATAGAAATGTCCTGTAGAGGGGGAAATCTGAAAACAAAATAGGAATAATCAAAACAGTTCATTGTGAAAATTCGGAAAAACCTCAGGGCTCTGGGTTCAGCCATAACTCCTGGTCTTTTAGCCTTCCAGAGTAACCGGGAGCTTAGAAGTTTTTGGAATCAGGTTGAGCTAAGAGCCTTTATGCCTAGGAACTAAGGCTTCCAGACTCCAAGCATGGTAACAGATAGCATGGACACCCTGGGGTCCTGACTGGGACTCCAGGACCTCTTAAGTAATGCGCATGGTAGAGTTGGCCATAGATCCATGAACCCTGGAAGCCAAGACTCCCCGTAGTTCATATGCAGAACTACTTAGCTGCCCTGAAGAAAATAATGCGGTTTTTCAAGCTCATTTTTTTTTGTTGCTTTGACTAGGGAACAAAGCAAAATCATTCCTCTTTCTCCAGTCTATGATAGTAATAGGCGTATTCTGTCTGTCCGGAGCACTCTAATTGATTGTTTCGGCAGCCAATCACAATACTTAATGAAACAACCAATCAATCAGAGTGCTCCGGACAGACAGAATAAGCATGTTATTATTATAGAAGATCCTGAGGCATTTCAAACAGATAAGCAGGCAAATCAGAGCTAGAATGAACCACGCCCCCAACCCCCCGCAGAGTGGGCAGGCTCTGCCAACTGGGGGGGGTGGGCAGGGGGGAAGCGATGAGGGGCCTGATCCTTTTTTTTCATCTTCCTGGAGCCTGCCTGCCTCTCCTGCAGCCAGGGGGTGAGCTGCCCTGAGCTGTGGGGGGCCCAGTGCTTCCATCCATGGTGGCAGCATTCCCCAGGACCACACAGGAAGGGGGCCAGCAACTGGGTGCTGCCGCCAGAGGGAAGCACGGGTCACTGCAGCTCAGGGGCTGTGCGACATGCTGGCAGTTCACTCCCCAGCCATGGGAGATGCAGGCAGGCTCCGGGGTGGGGGGGAATCTGGTCCCTCACAACTTTTTTTTTTTCCCCCCCACAGTGGAGCCTGCCTGGAGCTGCCACCAGGTCGCACAGCCCCTGAACTGCGGGGAGGGGGCGTTGCTTCCCTCTGTGGTGGCGGTGCCCCTCGGGTAGGGTGCTAGCTGCATGGATGCAGCCCCAGCTTGCAGGCAGCACCTGCCAGAACCAATGGTGCATGGGGCACTGGAAGCCTAGGTGTGCTCGGGGAAGCTTGGGCTTGGCAAGCTTCCAGTGCCCCGCGCACCATCCCTGCCACCTTTTCACCACCCAGGACCACCTGGGAACAGGCTGACTGCCTCAGGAACATGGCAGGAGGGTGTCTGGGTGTGCTGGCAGCCAGACAAGGTGGCAGGGATGGTGCACGGGGCACTGGAAGCCCACCAAGCCCGAGCTTCTCTGAGCACGCCTGGGCTTCTAGCACCCCATGCACCTTCCCTGCCGCCTTCTCTGGATATGGCCTTTGTACACATGAGGCATATCACTGTAATTTGTTACACAGAAAACTAAAATACATGGGATATGTTTTAGTCTGCTATGTAAAATGTCATTTAAATCGAAATACGCCTCTGGACGTGTACACTATTACAAAACTTAATCATAACATACCACCAAACATGTAGACTGTTATGCAATTAAATCATAAGTGTTCTAACATGGAAACATTATGAGATCAGCCCTTTTCACAGAGTTTGTGCTGTACTGTCAAAGAAACAGCAATTCTATTATTAGGGGTGCACTGATAGAGATTTTTGGGGCCAATACCGATAGCTGATTGATAAAAAGAAGCATATCAGCCAATACTGATCTGATTTCTGATACGTAGCCTGGCACCTTAAAGTCTGTTGTGGTGGAAAGGGAAGGGGGAGGCAAGTAGGGGGCAGATTGAGACCCCTGCAGTGAGGGAGTGAGTGGGGCTGGGGTAGGCGCAGCCCCCAGCTGAAGTGGAGTGTTGGACAGAGGCACAGCTCATCTGGGTGGCACGGGGGGTGGGGGGGCGGTGGCAGCTCCTGCCTTGCACACACCCCAGGAGGGCATGGAGGGGAGGGTGTGCCCCTGGATCTGCGCGGAGCTGGGTGGAGTAGGCTGCAGCACTGGGCTCTTCCTGGTGGGGGCTGGGCTGGGCTGCGCTGAGGGAAGGGTGACTAGCAGCACTGGGAGGGAAGGCTTGGGGGGCTACAGTGAATTTTGGGGTGGCTGCAGTCCCCAGTCTGTAGCTCCCCTCCTGGTTCCACTGCCACCTGCTCCAAGCACAGCCCAGCACAGCCCTGGCCCCAGTGCTGCAGCCTGCCCTGCCCCACGCAGATCTGGGGGTGCCCCCCTCTCAAGACCTCCCGGGATGCAAGCAGCAGGAGCCAGCCCCCCTCCCTACAGCCCCTGGACACGCCACAGCTCCACCCCACACCCCCGCCCCACCCTGGTTGGGCAGTGCCTGTCCCAGCCCCACTCCCTCCCTCACTGCAGAGGCCTTGATCTGCGTCCCCATCCCTTCCTTGCCCCCTCCCCTTCCACCACAACAGACTTACCAGCTGCATGCAGCTCTCCATGCTGCCGGACTGTGCTCCTCCCCACCTATGTATGCACCATGGCTGCACGCATGCACGGGGCATTTGTCGGCCACATTATCAGCCGCATTAGGCAAGAAAAGCTGATTTTCGATACAGTCCATTTTCTTTGTATCAGTGCCGATCCAATAATGGATCGATGTATCAATGTACCTGTATTATATCTGAGCTGAATCAAGGAAGGATAAAGAGAACAGGGCCTTTTAAGTCTGCATTTCCTTCTCAGTAAGACCAGGCATGTCACCTGACTACAAGTGGATGAGGCTTATTTCTTAGCAGCATGCCCCATCTCATTTTGGAGGTAGTGTTAATATACCCCTAGTCTAGGATTTGTTGCAGAGCCCAAACTATAAAGGTGGAATCAGATCTGGAGGTGGAAAGCAAGTCGATTCCATTCCTTTTTACTCAGATTGGGAGGATACATCTTTGTCCCATCTGCTGAAAAAGTATCCTCATAAAATGAAACAAAAGGATAAGGTACTAGATTTCAAATGGACCCACCTTTGCTCAACATTTCAGGATTAACAAACCATCAAACAAAACTGAACTATAAATATGCCAATTTTAATGTTAAATAAAAACCTGTGAATTGGTAAGAGATTACAGCATAAAAACATCATGGTCCCTGTGGCAAATATGGTTAAAATCAACATGCACTAATGGTAAAATATATAAATCCATACTCAAGGACATAAAAAAACTCCACTTGAGCAAAACAATAACTAGATCTAGCATATTTATTATACACAACTGTACTTTAACTTCACACCTAGATTGCTCTTCCAGATTATGATTATTTCAGAGTATGTTTAAGCTTTATGTTTGAGCCTGAGACAATCAAAGTTAATAGCAAAGTGAGGCATATGCTCTTTTTCTCAGATTGCTTATGGAAGAAATAAGGACCCTGCAGACTACACTAAAGTGATTTTCCTTTCAGAAATAACTTGCCAACTCTAATTCTGCAGGAAAAAAAATCTTTCAAATTAAGTATTTTTTTTCTAAGATCCACATAAAACAAAATGCCTCAGCAGTTCAAAATGTAAATAGGGATATTCATTTTTCTAAAGAAGCTGTTTCTCTCAGACTAGTGATGGACTCTGGTCTTAAGTGTATCTTAGAAACTGGGATGGAACAATTAGTTATTTCCGTTGGGACAAATTTGTAACTAGAGTAATTTCACTTGGCAGGATATTAGGATGCCACATATTTCTGTTGCACAGCATCTAAAACCTCCATCAAAATAGGAGTCCTGTTGTGCTAAATGCAGCACAGGGGAAAAGAACATCCCTGCCCTCAAAAATTTACAGTCTAATTATACCAAATGGACACAGGATGGGGAGCGCAGTACTGAAGTAATAGACTCAAAATCATGTAGCAAATTAGTGACAAAGATAGCCATAAAATCCATGTTTCTTAATACCAAGCCAGTATCCCAGCTGTTAGACCATATTGCTTCTCGAATTCCCTCCGCCTGGCATGCAGCGGTACTCCAGAGTATAAAGAGGTTAACGTGAGTGACGTATATATTCTGTAGGGCAATGGCCAGTGGATAAGAAAATACAGGAACCATGGACAAGCCTTAAGACTACAGTAATGTAGTCATTATAAAGTGACTCCTTTACAAGCCTGTGTCAGTAGTGATGGCTTTGCCCCTCCACCCTTTCAATTACTGTTGAATTCCCACATAATCCAGTTTCTCAGGCATGGCTTTTGGATTAAGGCAGTAGTTTTCAACCTTTTTAGACTTGAGAAATCCTTCCCTTAAGTTTTCTGAATTTGGCAGCACCCCAACTGAGCAGCATGACTGGTTATTTCTGTGCCATAGACACAGGGGGCGGGGGGAGGGGGGGAAGCGCGGAGGCAGTTGAGCTGAGAGCAGAAAGAGAACGGGAGGACCAGCAGAGTCTTACCTACCACAGCGTGGGTTTAACCCCAAGGCTGAAGGCTTGCAGTGGGGATCCAAGGTTAACAAAGTAGCAATAGGGAGGAGAAGCCAGGCTTGGAGGAGAATCTTGGCCCAGCAGCCCACCTGCCTGCCAGCTAACAGCCTCTGCATGAGGCCCTGCTGAGCACACGCCCTGCCGCTGTCACTAGCATCCCCATACTTCCATTCCAGTGCCCTCCCCGTGGTCAGTGCATGCAGCTTTTGTACCCATTGCCCAGCTGTGACCAGGAAGAACTGTCCCCAATGCCTCTGTTTTCAAGAGGGTTCATGCTGTATAGTCTGGGAAAGGCTGCAACAGAGGGGCTCCT